AATTTAATATTTACTCCATGTATAACGAATGTGAAATTTGTTCACATTTCTTCATACCATAGACATCACTAGATCATATAGCATTATCGTGGAGATTATGAAGTGCTAGTTCTATCTAAAAATTTTATCGTGGAATTTGAACGTCTATAAATAGTTCGTATCTTTAAAATAATATTCGAAAGAAAAAAGGGGACTTATCAATCAATCAAAGAATATGCCTCCGTTTGGCAAGAAAATTAATAAGTTACCTCTATAATTCAGTCCATATATTCAATACAACTATTCATTATTTGCCCATTTCATGGTCCCACCATTATTTCTCCTAAAAATTTGCTAATTGTCTTTCCCAAACAAGAACTATAAAGCAACTTAATGAGAAAAGGACAAAAATTAAGGGTGCTTGTGTGTGAGTACATGTAGTTCGATTGTGCGAAAGGACTTTCCTCGAATAGATGGCGTGGAAAGTCAACAAATTAATCTATTATATAAACTAATTTATAATTTCATTCAAAATCAAAAGTTATTTTCAGCATTACATTCATAATTATTAATTATTAATTATTAATTATCTATATATTTTGTACAATGTATTATGATTCCACTTACTATTTATGTTTATAAATTTGTCAAACGGAGGTTGTTAGGGGAGATTTATAAAACGGTGATAGAAAATGATGTTCGATCAGTTATAAATTATTTATAAACTTTGCCTAATGGAAGCTAATACTAATTAGTGAAATTATAATGCATTACATCTCCTCCTTATTTAAAAGCTTGTTCTAGAGCTAAATAGACGACATTCCCAGGTTAATCATCCCTTAACTAACATTAGTACATACGATATATGATACCGAAGAGTCTAGGCTGAATTAATAAAGAACGGTACCTATGAAATTTTTAATTATTCTATTTGATCTTGAATACTAAACATACTTAGCAAGTTAATTTTACCATTATGTTAGTTAGTGATATGAAAATATACAATTATGATATTCGAAACATACCTTGACGGCTATTTTTGCCTAGACGTTAGGTTTATGGTACGAAACATTCAAATATTCCATTTAATATTGTAAACCAAACATATTATTGTTAATTTTGCATATCTTGTCTGATTGATGTTACGACTATGCCAAGTATGGAGGCCTTGCTAAACTGTGTTTAGAAGAGAGAAAAGTTGAATTTTCTTCGGTAAACTGAGCCTTTGTGTGTGTGTGTGCACAGTTTCCTCGAATAATTTCTTTTTCCTTTTTCAATTGGAAACTTGTCAGGGTAAGAAGAAACCTGAGGTATATGTAAAAGTTGAGTATCACATGCTCCCAAGAAACATGTTTTGCACTGGGGCGGGGCTATTGAAGAAGATGACGGATGGATTGTCACTTTTGTGCACAATGAAGTTACTAACATATCTGAGGTATGCAATTATGATATTCAACATCACTGGTGCTAGAAATCATCATTCTTTTAAATATAATACTTTCCAAATGTCATTGAGGATTTTGAATTAACTTTTAGGTTCAACCAACGCATGTAATAGCTAAAGATGGCTTGGATTCAATTTTTCTTTATCAAAGTATGATTTTTGGAATTTTTAGAGTGAGAATTGAACCTAACGTATTTGCTTGCTTTAGTATTATATTGAACCACGTCATCTAACTTTCAAACAGTATGATGAATTTGATATAACCCTATTAATATCATTAATAATCGTTCTTATGTCCATATTGAAATCACATTTTTTGTCAAAGACTTGACATCTANATCACGTCATCTAACTTTCAAACAGTATGATGAATTTGATATAACCCTATTAATATCATTAATAATCGTTCTAATGTCCATATCGTTTCTTTTTTGTCAAAGACTTGACATCTAAAAATTTCATGTTTAGAAGGCGGTGAAACTTGACCTAAGGGCATTTGTAAATTCATATAATATAGTTAACCACCTCATTTATAAATTGAAGTCAAAGTTGTTCAAAATTTTCAAATTCGGAACTATTCCATACGAATATAGGTCTTGGAAAATTTAAAAAGCATATCTTTCATATACCGTGTTTTTAAAATTACATTTTAAGTAACACGACTCGTGTTCATCACTCAATCGAATGACAAAATGACTAATATAACCAGGCCCATTAAAATTATGCTTTCATGATATTACAACTTTTTTTTCTCTTGGACATGTCTTGC